AGCCCTAAAGCCCTAAACCCTTAGGAGTACTTGAGGATCCCTACTTTCAGGTTGAGACCTTAAGAGCCAAATAGGACGGAGTCTCTAAGAATCATCGCGTTCCCTTGAAATGGCCTTGGTTTAGGCTTCAGGCTCGTAAGGGCTCGATTAAATCTGGAAGGAGTCCTTCTCTGGGGGTCTGTTCTATTGGGGTCCACTGGCCGTTTGGGATTTAGGGTGTTTGATTGGGTAGTCGGTTGTTCTGGAGCACAAGTTGAACCTTGTCTGCCGAAGGTCATTGATCACTTCCGCCACCCTCATCAGTACCATGAGCAACTTGATTGCGGGCTTGCGGAAGCTGGGCCATTTGTTCAGCGCATTTTCCGCGAGAGCCCAATACACCCTCATTCAGGAATATACTTTACATCATACTAGCATCTTGATATGATTGAGGGTGTATATTCCTCAATTGAGGGGTATTGGGCTTCCTGTACATAGTTGTATTGCAGCCCATAAGTGATGGCTTTGAAGTCGTCGGAAGCAAGATGTTTCATGATGGCATGCTTAAACAGGTGGCAACTTAGGATGCTTACGAGTTTCCTCTATAGGTATTGGTCTAAATTCCCTATAATACGGGGTCCTATATTTGGGCTCCCATGATAATACGGGGCGCTATATAAATTTCCCCCCCATTTTGGGAACAGTAATTTAGGGAAACTGCCCTATGTTATTGCAGAGGTCCTCTCAGTAAACAGTCTCGAGGGCCTTCGCAGTATAACCCAGCCCAGGAAGATCGAGCAGGATGAGACTACAGAGTTTCGGCTTCTGCGTCGATTCCTGAAGCACAATGAAATTGCGGACGACGTTGGACAGAAGGTCATGGCACAAACATCAGTCCTTTTCTCCTGTCGGCATGGGAAATGGTAGTAAGGATTGACATGAGGATGATCGTGCACTATACAGCTGCAACATGATGCTGAGGAGGGTTGTTATGCATGGGATCCTCAATATCAGAGTATTGACTTCAATTTTCTGATGGGTATTGGAGCAGTTTCAAGCTGCTACTTCTTCATCCGCTCTTTGTGCTGAACATTTCACGAGTTGCATACTCACGCTGAGTGGATAGACGTTGCTTAGCTGAGGGTGACTGCAACGCACATTTGGCTTTAGCAGTTCTCGCGTCACCAGCTCGCATGACTGGCATGCTCCCTGCCTCAAAGGGCTCAAAAGGTGGGACGAAGGAAGGTGGGGTATAGGAAAAAAGCCGCAATATAGTAGAGTATATACTAAGATCCTTCAACTCAGCTACCTTCATCCCAGTTTTTGAGCCCCCTAAACCCTAAACCCTACCTTGCCCAGGTGACACAGTTTTTGCAGCATCAGTATGCGCTGAAGCAGCAGGCCTTGGGGAGCAAAGCTTATTGGGGTCATATTAAGGGTTTAGGGTTTAGGGTTTAGGGTATATAGGGATCATATTTGGAGTTATATAGGGCTTAGGGTTTAGGGTATAGGGTTAAAGGGTTTAGGGGTCATATAGGGGTTATATTGGGGTACATGAAAAGAAATTGGAAACTACCATTTAGGGTTTAGGGTGTAGAGGCCCATGATCGGGGTTACATCGAGGTTACATTGGGGTTATAACGGGGTTATATAGGGGTTATCTTGGGGTAGTGGAAAGAAAACGGAAACTACTGCAGCTGGTCTTCATCCTGATTTCAGCTAGTTCTGCATTTGCTCAAGTGGTATTTATGTTAGATGTGCGGTGTCCAGTGGCATTATTGGGTATCCTCCTGCAGTGCAGCAAGACACAGGCATTTTTTTGGGGGCAGATGAGAAGTTTCAACCGCTTAGCGAGCAGTCTTCAGGGGTAATAGTTTGTTAATTACTTCAATATGGACCAGGTTTTAGGGTTAAGGGTTTAGGGCCATCCCTACACATTCCCTTTCACGCCATAAGAATTTGCTTGTTTTAGGGCCCCTACATGTATTCCAGTCTGCAGCTTGAGTGTTGGCTTCAGTTGGCTACATGTGACACCTACCCCGAAAGCCTACTATAGGGGCCTAAATAGGGGTATTAGGGTTTAGGGCTACCAATATCATGGTCCTAGATTCCTTACATAATTGTCGTATTTGGGGCCTAATATAGACCTCAGCATGATGTTGGTAATAAATTTGGCCCCTGCAGCATCAACATCCTTGAGCAAGTAGCTGCTGCTAAGCAGACGACGGGAATGGATAGTGGATAGTCGTCAGTATATAACCAATATGAGCCTCTATAAAACCCATTCCCTTATTCTATATTAAGCGCTTATAGTGCCCCTTAAGTAGATAGATTATGGCTTTGGGTATATTATAATAAGATCCCCATATACCCCATCTTCTATCTGCTGAAGGGGGACTACAAGCCCAAAAACTCAATGACGCAGAGTGGCGGCTTCCATTGTCTTGGCCATCCCCCGTCTGCGACTAAGCAACTGGGAGACACGCGCTCCAGCCCTCATCCCCCTCTAGGGATGGGTTTAGGGTTTAGGGTTCAGGGTTTAGGGTTTAGGGTTTTGGGGCTCCTAGCCCCTAAGCCCTGAACCCTAAAACCAAACCCTAAACCCTGACCCCTGCACCCTAAACACGGAACCCAAGCCGTAAACCCCGAAGCATCAAGCCCTAAACGCCTTCACTACCTGGAACCTAAAGGCGCGGTCCTTCCATGTCCGCGTTCCCCTGCTGGACCTTCTGTCGCGCCCGCTGTTCAATGAGCTTCAGTTCGAGAGGCCGAAGAGAGGGGTTGAGGGTTTAGTGTCTGGGGTTTTAGGGTTTAGGGTTACTATCCCCGTAAGGCCATCGAGTTTTCAGTTTTTGGGTCTTCAAAGCTAGAGAGAACCCTCCTCGGCAATAGCCAGAGAGCGCAACAAGCCTTCAACTACTGTATATACCTTACATGTTTTAGGGTTTAGGATTTAGGATCCTTAATGTGACTCAAACCCTTAGCCCTACAGCCTATATGCCTAGGGCCCCAGAGAAACATGTGGGGTTCTGCGGGATCATGGATGTCCTGATGAGGCATGCTGGAGGGCACATTTTGAGAAATACCCATTTCGAGCAGTGTCTATGATGCTGATCAGCCTTCGGCCGTATGCCTGAGGATTTGCACGTTTATGGGTAGGGGCTGCTTGGAGGGTCAGGGGGACTTCAGTAAGTATACTTGTAGCCCCTATGAAGAGCCCACATAGTATAGCCCCACTAATCACCTTTTTTAGCCTACTTGATAAGTCCCCATGACCCTACAAGTAGGAGCTAGGTTTCGAGGTGTGTGTGTGTGTGTGTGTATTGCAACGATTTCTCCTTCTCGGGCTTCTCGGCGGAAAGCTTGAGACTAGGCTTCGGGGTCGAGAGTTTTCAGCATTGCATTGTAAGACCCACTTTGCCAACGAGAGCATTACTCAGGTCCGTTGGATGTACACATCGGGCAATTTCTCAACATGGCTGCTGAAGTCATCCCCCTCAGATACAAAAAAGAACACCACCCTAACACTACATATAATAGTGATGATATTGCCAGTAAATATCATCATATGATCTGCTCACAGGTAAAGTCTTTGGGTTTAGGGTTTAGGGTTTCGGGTTCCCAAATCAATTTCCGTGTCCGGAAGCGACTATGCAAATTTTCAAAACTGCCACCACACCCAAAATCTTGAGCCGTAGCGAATGCACAGCACATCGTAGCTGCTTCTTGCTGGGTATTTTGTTTCTGACTGATGGGTTGCTCCCCTAAACCCTAGGGTTTAGGATTTAGGGTTTAGGGTTTAGGGTTTAGGGACCTTGAGCCCTAAAACCCTAAACCCTAATGGATTGCTCCTCAAACTCTAGGTAGGAGACTCTGGAGCCTGATCATCTTCTACCTTTCTAATGACTTGGGTTTAGGGTTCAAGGGTTTATGGTTTAAGGGTTTAGCGTCTAAGGGTTTAAGGGTTCAGGGTTAAGGCAATTACTCTTGTTCTTTTCAGTATCATTTCATTGGCTTCGTGTTCCCACCACTAGAGGAGTATTCTTATTGTCTCTAAACCCTTAACTCTAAGCCCTTTTCCTTTCCGAGGGGTATAGCCCCTTCAAAGGGAAACCCTAAACCCTAAACCCTAACTCCTAAACCCTAAGCCCGAAACCAAGTACAACTTGCAGGAACAGAGTTTCACTCTGCAAGCTCCGAGTCGTCCTCCGCACTGAGGCTGTGGCTGGCAGGAACAATCAGTAGTATTGGTGGCTTTATGGTAGTTTCCCAAAAATTAGGGGTACCATGTTGGGGTTCCCATGATAAGGACTACAAGTTGGTTGCTCTTGAATTCGATTGGATGCGCAGGTGTATCTCTACATGTACGACATCTCGGCCGGACTTGCCAGAAGATGGACTTCTTTCAAGACAGTCAAATCTCAGTGCTGGGATTTGTTGCAGGGCATTTGGCACACAGGGGTTGTGGTGTGCTGGCCGACCAAGTTCCCTAGCGCCGGCAGCAGCCCTGGCAATCAGGATACTTCTGGAATGCTGTGACGGAGCTTAAATTAAGTTACCATACTATGGTATATCGTGACTCATCGGCTTTCCTCATTGTAGTAATGTAAATTAAATTTCTTAACATAGACTTTCAGAGAGTGCCTTCAGCTGTTTCTGAGGAACGCAGTATTGGCAAGGAGAGAAGATCAACGTGTCCTGGGCCGAGTACGTGGGCTCAGCCCATGTTTTGTTTGACTTTGATTGAAAGTTGTGCATAGACAGTCTAGTGGCGCTGCCTGCAAGGACGACAGGATCCAGGAACCTGGTTGAGAAGAGGTCCATCATGTTAGCATGGGCTGTCGCTGAGAGTGCCATCAAAGAAAGCAGGTTTCTTGGATACACTTCAGGGTCCACCGGCCTGCGTGTCAGATTTCGTGAAAAGGCGCGCCACTTGCGAGTGATTGAACAGATTCGGGCTTGAATCCCATGAGGCAGCAGGCGAAGCCAATGAACTACCACTTGCTGCCGCAGCCTCATGTCGTTTGCATCCCTTTAGTGTGTTGGTTGGCTTGACGGAGAACCTGTTGGTTCAGCAGGAACAACAACTGCAACCACTTCTCGGATGCAGCTTCCATGTTCCTGTTGGGCAAGCGCCTGTGCCAGCACAGACAGAGATGAGCCACACAACAGAAGGAGGGAGAGAGAGAGCTTGCATTTTCAAGTGGTACGTTGTCAGAATTATGACTCCTTCTGGGGTACTTTGTTGTAATTTGGCATGTTTCAGGTGCACCGTGATATTGACAACTCTCAAACATGGTGTTGACAACTCAGGCACATCCCTGAAGACGTTTTGCGCCAACCGCAGCACGTAACGGCCTCAGCCATGGAGAGAGTTGGGCCCAATCCCGTTATTCCTTGAGTGTAGCCGAATCCCTCTAACCCAAAACCCTAAGCCCATAGTCATGTGGTAGTTTACGGAGTTGACGTATAGCGTGCATGCCTGCTCACATTGGTGTTATTTTCAAAATTATGGGCCCCTTTTGGTTATAGCTTATATCAGGGCACGTAATATTTAAGGGTACCTAAATGGAACCCGGATTTTGGGCACTACCTTCTTGTTTGTTTGAGCTGGCCACGTACGTTTGGAAATTACATACCGTTTCCCAGGAAGCAGAATCAGTTAACCTGTTTCAAACTTGTTTCAGGCGTTCAACTCACGCTGTGTGCCTTGCATGCTCGTGTGCGCTTCTCCCAAGCATATCTGCGTCACACAGGACATATCACCTTTGGAGCAGCCAGCCGAGCCACATGCAAGCTGCAGGTAATTTGGTTCTCATGTCAAATAACATGTTCAAAAACAATTTCGCGCACACAAAATAAAGTCGAAATGGATGCTGCCCAGAAACTATAATTGTACGCATGATGTGATTGAAAAAGGAGCCTCATGTATTCTAACTGTGACGGTTGTTTCTGCCTGCAAATGAATGGAAGCATTACTGGGTTGCTGTTAAGTGTTGAGCAACTTAATCTAAGTTCCCAGAATATCGCTATGCAGTAAATGATAGGGTTTTCCTTACTATAGCTACTTAACCCTCAACCCTTAAACTTTTTGGGCGGGAACCCCTTGCCGAGCCGGGCAGACGAAAAGTCCAAAGGGTTAAAAAAAAACTTCAACCCTGGAGCCGTACTTTGAGTTCCTCAAATGCAACCCAGTACAGTCTCAATCCAGGCGTTGCGCTCGTACCCGCTGTTGACAAGGCTCATGCCCGGCCCTCAGTTCTCAGATTTACAGTTTAGGGTTTAGGGTCTAGGGTTTCGGGTTTAGTAGTGTTTTATTTGGGGATACTGTGGCATATAGAGCAGGATTATATCCTCCTTTTGGGTACAGGACTTTTTGGTACGGTTGAATGTTACTTTACTCGGTTCAACCCCCCAAAAAAAGCAATTCAGATGGGGAGGGGAAGAGAAACCGGAGTCGATGTTGCTTACTGGTGGTTACTTGTAGTAGGGAATAAGGGAATATCGCATGTGGAGACTGTACATGGATTATATTCCTTGATTACCTACTAACCTTAGACCCTAAGCTCTATGTCATATTCCCTCATCCTGTACTATGATATTCCCCTTGCTAACTTGAAACCTTAACCTCTATATCATATTCCCTTATGCTCTACTAAGCACCGCTAAATTTGGCGAGTTGGTCAGCACATGCCCGAAGCTGGGTTTGCTTGGGAATGGTCATCGAACAGCGAAACCCTTGACTTATTGGTTCTTACTAGGTAATATGGGAATTTGATCCTTATAGGGTTTAGGGAAGAAGGCAATATAAAATCCGTAGAAATTGCCTATGAAAGTAACCCCTACATATTATATTCCCATGTCCCCTCCTAAGAACCAGTACGTCGTTCCGTGTGAGAAAGCTTGTCGCGCAGGCTATACGCCGATGCATTGGCAGACGGACCGCCCCAAAGCGCCTTGCTCGCATGTCACCTTGTAATCACCTCCCCCTAATAGTGAACCTCCTAAACCCTAAACCCTACACCCTAAACCCTCAACCTTAAGCCTCCTCATCCACTCTAACAAAAAATGTTCCCTTCCATTATATACCGGTACTCTATTGCTGTAGTCTTTTTAGGTTTTATTTTTTTTTATGTATTCTATAGTAGAACCCTAAGGAATTATTAAACATAAAGTTTTCATCATAGGTCTAAGGAGACTACAGATTGAGGGTACCTTGCCGCTTGTATTTGGGGAGGTAAGAGGGCCAATTATGCGGAGGAGGGGATCAGGTGCCGCAAGTCTGAGGTTCCAAAAGCCGAAGTGTAGCTTGTGGGACTGGGCTTCGCGTGCGTTCAGCAAAGGGATGCAAAGGTTGAGGGTTGAGGGTTTGGGGTGTAGGGTTTCGCATTTCGCCAGGATGCCCAAGTGGACTGAGGCACTGCCCTCGCACCAATGCTTTCAGTGTGTGTACTGTGTCAGCTTGTCAGGTATGGAACTTTAAGCAGTATTGCCCCCAAACCTTAAAGTTCAACCGGATCCGTAGGCTGAATGCTTTCAGAAGGTATGCTCTCCAGTCACATGGAGGTGTCCGCAAGTAGGGGCAGTAGGGATTCCACAGACAGAATTCTTTTCCTTGTTATACCTTGTTATTGGGACTCCCAAACATTTTCAATTCAATAAATACTTATACCCCTACATAGCTGTGTATATCTCCCATAATCCCTTGAAACGTGCCCAAAGTATTGTAACCCTATTGGCATCATGCTGTGCACTCTTCGTGTTCAGTTTTTGTGGTCAGAACGCAGGGATTACGGCTTCCGTTTGCGTTCCGTGTGTCCAGTTGAGCATAAGCTGGTACCTTAAACCCCAAACCCTAAACCCAAACCCTAAACCCTGAAGCTGTGAGGTCACAGATGAAGGTTGCGGCAAGGGTGGCGCATGCGTCAGGTGCCAACAGTGCTGCAGGCAGACCGTTGATGTAATTATGGCATTGGAATTAGCTTAATGGGTCGTAAACCGTGAGTACAACCCCAGCACACCCCTTCTCATCACGTTTTTCAAACATTTAGCACATTCCCAGCCCCAAAACGGGAAACCCTAAACCTTAAAGCTTTTCGTAGTATGGATCCTTTAGCCACGAAGGCTCTAGGTGTGCACAAGCAGGATCAGCGCTTGAATAGTAAGGGCCTAGCATTTCCATTTTTCAGCACCAGAGCATCAGCCACGGAGGCCTTGTGCGAAGGGTTTGCTCTTGTACATGATGCCTTCATATTGCCTTCATGCTGACCGCACGCTGTTCGGAGGCAATTCTCGTGCTTTCCGGAAGAGTTCTCTGCATCGGCTCTCTTGGCCGTGGCCCCAGAGGAAAACACCGCGGCATCGCTCTTCATGCAGATGGAGGGTGTACTGCATCCTTACTTTCGGTTGTATTTCACCCTGCTGCGGTGACATGAGCAGAACAAACACCAATGTGGCGGGAGTGGAGACATTGGAGCAGCAAGTTTTTTTTTTGATAGCAAAAAAGCGCTGGTTCCCTGAGTGCTTGGTGGTGACAACTTGATCTGCGGCGGATGGCGTCAGGCACGCAAAGTATATCCCTCGATATCTCTCGCGATCCAACTGAATACACCTTTGGAGGATGGGGCTCCGAGGTGGACCGTATTATCGTCTGTGCTTGGGGACTGGAAGCTGCAGCGTCGATGCGAGTGGGTGACACCCTGTTGTGGGACAGCCTGCAGCATTCGGGGACTTTCAGGGTCTGCTTTGTCAGCTTACGGGTTCTTGGAAGGGAAGAAGGGCAAATGATCTCCATATTACCCGTATACGATGTATTCTCTTCTTCCCTACTCACAACCAGTAAGTCAGCAGGCGACAAGATCGTGGTGTGCATGACATGGTAGTTGCCCTCAAGACGAGGACCCCAATAGAGCTGCAATCCTTTTACGAGAAGATTGCGATTACATGCAGTATTTCTGATCGCGTGGCGAATGCAGCAGCCATGATTTTTGGGCGTATGCGCATCACACGCAACATCACTTTGCGTAGCTTACAAGACATGGTCACACTGGCTCCATTTTTCAGCATATCAGAGTTGACGATCCTGGGTGGCTGTCCATCTTTGAGCTTAAGTGCGCGAAGAAAATGGGGGTTTCCCAAAAT